ATGCATGCAAGAATGGCAGACAAAGTGCAAGAATAGGGGCTTCCCACATCCTCGTAACTGCTCAGAATGCATCTGCCCAAGCGGATACGGTGGACAGTTCTGTGAGAAAAAGGTAACTGCACCCCCCACTTTCTGAGCCCAGCTCTTGCAATCTGATGGATATTTAATTACAGCCGGACGATTGCGGTAGAGAAGTGGAGGCGACGGACACAGTGGAATAAACTTGTAGACAGTGTAGGCGAAAACACCATTTTCACTGCGCGAGAAGACTTCAAGAAATGCCATTATTGGATCAGGGTATTGATTCTTGGGAACAGTCGATCTTTAGTGAGCTCAAGATTTGCATTATAAGAACTCTCAAAAGAAACCTGGAAAAAAGATAGAAGTCAAACTTGCTTATTTCCCTGGTTCACTAGCCGTCGATGGATGCAAATATGCCGGCGTTGAAATCAAAACAGATCCAGACAAGCGTCGCACCGGTTACAGGTACGCTATTGCAGTAGAATCAAAAGCTATAAGCCTTGGAATCATTGAAAACCATCAGTGATGGCTGCTTACCATCTTTTTCAGGTTCTGCTCAAAGGACGATATTAACACTACGCTCCAGTCGACATTGAAAAAAGTTCCTGTGATAACCTACAACAGACTCTACTTCACAGAGACCGAGTTGCTTTACCGCATCGTTCCGTAGATATCCGCGGATTCTTCGAAATAAAGCATTAGCATACGTCTTTTCAGCAGAGATGGCATGAGAAAAATTGACACATGGAACACCGATGCTTGTCATGAGACCAGGGTACGCCATCGTTGTGATCATCACAAGGGGGGGGGGGGTCGTATTTGACCGCGAGGGAGGGGGGGGTCGTATTTGGTCAGTTCACGGACGCACTACTATTTCCGACACTTGAAAATGATAGTTTAATTCTGACGACCCCCCGCTCGACGGCTCGGTTCGATGAGGAAGGACAGAGGGCTGGGAGGGGGGGGTCGTACCAACTCCCAAAAAGGGGGGGGTCGTATTTTAGTATGAAATTAGAGGGGTTGTAACTTTCACAAAATGATCACAACGCGATGGCGTGCCCTGCATGAGACACCCCAACTACACCCGGGTTTCTCTTCTTAGGTAACGGTGCTCGTGTGACAATATCTGCAAGTGTTCGGATATCATTGATGATGTTGTCATCTCGAATCATCTCGACATAGAACTCAGGGGTTCTGACCATACATTCGACATGCCCGACCGCCTCATGTATCTGTGATCCCACGAAGCAACTCCCCCCAGCAGAGGGTTACTATTAGGTTGTCCGGAAAGTTCTTAGCGTTTTGGGTGTTTAACTTTAAACGATCATAACTTTCTTAACACTCATCGGATTTAATCCAAATAAGCAGCCAATTCGACCAGACACTAACGTTTTGCCATATGTGGCCAGCGAGTCGATGGAAAATCCCATCAAGAAAAACTGGGTGACTCGAGAATGCCACGATAATCTGGCGAAAGGGCTTTTGCCTGGTCCCTGTTTGATGAGAGGTTAAAAAAAAAAATTGTTGTTTTTCTCAGCAGGAAGGTTCTGAAAGATGGTCTGAAAGGTGACAGTCGGTTGTGTGAAATCAGGTGCTAGAGAAGTATGGTGGTGAAGGTAAACTTCAACTCCCCAATTCGTTCAAATTATGGATAGTGATTTGTGAAACGTGTGGGCGGGCGTTGTCATGCAAAAGAATCGGACCCTTTCTTTTGATAAGTGTTGGCTGCAGCTGACAATATTTTCGGTACATTTGGTCGGTTGTTCACAGTAGGGTTCTGCTGTGATGGTTTGGCCTGGTGATGAAAAGTTATAGTGGATTACAACAGCCGATGACCACCAAACCTGACCAGAATTTTTTCGCGAGGGTTCGGCTTTGAAAATTACCTCGGTGGTTCCTCCAAATCCAACCACTGTCCCGGAACGTCTCCTGTTATCATACATGATCATTTTTCATCACAGGTGACAAATCCGTTCAAAAACGGGTCAATTCTTTTGCGCAAAAGCAGTGAAGAAGGAACCTCGAGACGTGCCGATTCCTGCCGGTCACTCCGATTGTGGGCACCCAATTGTCGAGTTTTTCACCTTCCCAATTGCGTTCGCGAGATCGGCAATCTGCAACAGTGGATTTGCAAACGCGCTAGCTCTTCTGCTATCTCTCGAACTGTTTGGGATAGATCAGCCTCCGAAATCCCCTCAAAATCCTCGTCAGAATTGCTTTAGGTCGATCGCTATGAGGTTCACCTTCAAGGCTGAAATTTCGCTAGTAATACGGAACATTTGTTGAGCCATTGTCGGGCACAGTGCTTTCTCTAGCACTATTGGGCCTCCACACCTGGTTAATTTGTTGAGCTGTTTCGATTGCGGATTGCCCCAATTTATAGCCGAAGAAAAAAATCGTCCGAAGTGCTCTTTTCACATGCTTGAAAAAAATCTTGAAAAAAAGAGGTTTTCAGTTCTAATGGTGATTATACGGCTAAATTATACCATCAGATAGCGGCAAGAAATTCTTCTACAGGATGTTGGCTACTGAGAAGCATAGGCAATATTTTGAGTTTTTTAATTCAGTCAGTGAAATGTACATAAGAATTTAGTGCGCACAAAGACGCTAGGTAACTTTCCGGACAGCCTATATTAAAAGGGTACTGTGGGAGCAGAAGAGTCGGAATTTAAAGGCATCTGGCGATGCAACTTCAGCCTAAACGAATGGTGTTTCACTCCTATTCCATTCTAAAAGGGGGGTCTGTCCATTTTTGAAGAGAGCCCATTCTGTAATTAAAATGAACCGCCATCGTTCCAGCATCATGCACGGTTTAAGCGCGTACCGATTCCTCATGAAAGTGTTACTGAATGACACGACAGTAGTATCATTCGTTACTAGATCAAAGGGGTCTAATCAATTTCAGCAGCATTGCCGTGTACAGTATGACTAGCTCTCTTCAATAGATAAAGGTTTACGATAGAAAAATCCCGGTTGACGGAGTTCCGGACAATCAGATGCATTTCTAGCGCTGATCTCAGATTTCTCTAGATGGAATTTCTGAATTTCTTTATATACTTAGCGTCAGGGCGAGTCCAGACGCTCACGCTCTACGTGCACTTCTTATCACTGAAACACAGTAGAGGCATGCCATTTGAGCATGGCACAGAATGGGTAGGATAACACAATTTGAAGGAACCGTCAACTTTGTTCAGGGGGGGGTGTGTTGGATAAAGAATGAATTGGTCAATACCACTCGTGCCAAGATCGAATATCCCAGCAAATAAGCTCAAGCTCGCCGGCCACTTTTACTTGAAAAGGGCAGCCCTGCCACCCCGGGAGACGTGCAACAGAATCGGCACACGCCACGTCGCGCGGCAATGACGCAGCAGTGCACGGGCGTGCATTTGCCAGCCGATAGCTTTGCGACTGGAGCAAATGATTTACTACAGCGTACATCCGCAACGTTTACCAGATTTCATCAATAATTGAAAATCTAACGATGTTTCTCTTGATAGTAACACACAATTGTTTGGCGGTTCCATAGACGCAACTTCAGGAAATAAACAGATACAAAAGAAATCAAATAAGGCTGTTATTCTCCCTATGTTTATGTGGTTCACATGATTCGCGCAGTCGTCAGCGTCAACATTCAATAGATGAATGGTCAAGTTTTCCTGTGAGCTGCTGTAAAAGATGACACATCAGAGCAAATGTCAAAGAACCTAATGAGGTTCATGCTCAAATGGACTTTTCATTCTTTATGGGAAACGAAGAAAAAAATTAAAAACTTAGTCGTAACTGAACACAAGACTCGAATATCAATATGATGATATCAATCTCTACCGTCCCTCAATATCCCTATTCAAACGGCCAGGGGCATAATTCTTCGTCGCAAATATGTCGCAGGCCACGCCCTCCAGCTGCACTGGACGATTCTGTTGCTACACACCCATGCCACCCCATCTCGGGGATTAGAGTGTACATTTTCATGCCGAAAGACGTAATCCTGTTTAGGAGCTCTTACTAGCACTACACGGGAATTTTGAGCTAACTTTTGTCTCAGATTCGAGAAAAAGTTGAATGTCATTGGGTGGTGTTGGTCATAGCCAGCTATCCTACAGCCTGACTGACATTGAGGACCAACCTTGGCCCTGAATTTTGCTTTTCTCAGAAAAAAAGCAGGCCTATGTTTCCGCATCTTCCAAATAGATGAAACATTTCAGCACAACGCAAACACTGTCCTCGGTCCGTTTTGCATTCTTTCCATCTAGCCGCGGTTGATGACCCTTGAGGTCTCTTCAAAGCTACGCCTTCCCATTTCTTGCAATACGTCTTCCGCACTATCCTGCTTCACGTTCCCCGGTAGTGAGAACCAAATCCCTAATCAAGACCAATGACTGATGGTCGCTTCGATGATATTGGAACAATAACACCATCGAGGGCCACAATTTCTTCAAAGTTCTAGAACGAAAATTCAGATTTGGACAGAAACTTTGCTGCTGGAGGTATTTCAAGAGACTGAACACGAATATGGACTTGTTGTGCGCAAGTACAGTCCTCATCATTGCGGACCGGTGGGGCGTGGCAGTGCGGCTGCTTTGGTGCGGTTTGGCAAAATCGTTCTGCACCAGTTTTTGAAGCGGG